CCAAATATGAATATTACTTATCAAAGGAATTAGAATCTTTATTTCAAATATGAGAATGCTGAGGCCCACGTACATCAAGGTTTTGCTGAATCTCCTGAGTCCTGAGTCTCCAAGTCGGTTCCATTGATCTGACTCTACAACTGCCTACTGTTAAGGGTTTGACTCCCCTGGAATTGAAGAGGTGAGGGTGATTGTTATTTTTATAGGGAAAAATAGTTTTAACAGAATTTCTCTTAAGAAGAGTTAGGAAGCTATATCTGTTTGCTAGAGCGGCCATAACAAAGCTCCTCAAGCTGGGTGGCTTAAACAACATAACTGTTCTCTCATGATTCTAGGAGCTAGAAGTCCAAGACCAAGGTGTCAGCAGGATTGGTTTCTTGTGAAATCTGTCTCTTGACATGTGAAGACTGACTGTCTTCTCCCTGTGTCTGTGTTACTAATCCCCTCTTCTTATAAGGACACAGTCATATTGGATTAAGGCTCACTCATTTTATCTTTTTTTTAAAGACCTCACTTTATCATTTTTTTCTGTTTTTAAATTTTTATTTATCTTTTAAAGATTACTTTCCATATACAGTTATTACAAAATACTGGTTCTGTTCCCTGAGTTTTACAATATATCCTTGAACCTATCTTATACCCAGTAGTTTGCACCTCCCACTCCTTTACCCTTATATTGCTCCCCCCACTGGTAACTGTTGGTTTGTTCTCTGTATCTGTGAGTCAGCTTGTTATATTCACTAGGTTTCTGTGTTTTTTAGATTCCATGTATAAGTGATATCATATAGTGTTTATCTTTCTCTCTCTGACGTATTTTGCTTAACGTAATATACCCTCCAAGTGCATCTATGTTGCTGCAAATGACAAAATTTCATTCTTTTTTTATGGCTGAGTGGTGTTCCATTGTGTGTATGTGTGTGTGTGTGTGTGTGTGTGTATACATCCACACTTCATACTCTTTATCTGTTCAGCTGTTGATGGAAATATAGATTGTTTCCATGTCTTGGCAATTGTAAATAATGTAGCTGCAAACATTGAGTTGTGTCTCTGTCTTTTAGAATATGTGTTTTTGGGTTTTTTTCCAGATATGTCCCAAGGAAAGGAATTGCTGGGTCATATGGTAGTTCTATTGTTAGTGCTTTGAGAAATCTCCATACTGTTTTCCACAGTGACTGCACCAGCTCACATTCTTAACAACCAATGTACAAGGATTCCCTTTACATCCTTGCCAACGTTTGTGATTTGTGTTCTTTTTGATGATAGCCACTCTGACAGGTGAGAGGTGATATCTCATTGTGGTTTAGATTTATACTTTTCTGATGATTAGTGACGCTGAGCATCTTTTCATGTGCCTGTTGACCATCTGCATTTCCAAAATGTCTGTTCAGTTCTGCATTTTTTAATCAGGTTGCTTGTTTCTCTGATGTTGAGTTGTATGAGCTGTTTATATATGTTGAATGTTAATTTCTTATCTGATTTAATTTTATCTTAATTATGCCTTTAAAGAGCCTATCGCCAAATACAGTCACTTTCTGAGGTCCAGAGGCTTAGAGTTTCAACCTGTGGATTTTCAGGAAACACAATTCAGCTTCAAACAGAAGCCACCCACTTTTTCCCCTCTTCTGTCCCTTTAGTATTATTATTAATATTATTGGAGAAACTGAGAGAGGTTTTCTAAATCCGGGAGGCAGAGTGTCAAGCAGGATATTGGTGAACCCAAGGGGATCTGCTGGTCTCATAACCATAGGGTGACTGTCCAAGCATCTCACTTCCCTAGGAGAAGGGGGTGTTCACACACGTGACCCTGTCAACCTGTCCCCAAAGCATTGTTTCAGTGTTTTAGGATAAATACAACATGAGGCATTTAGCACTGTCACTCTTACTTGGCATCACTTCTTATATATGTGTGTATTGATTTAAAACAACATTAATGTGGACACATAGCACCATTTACCATATCAAAATGGAAGACAACCTGTGTCCAACAGTAGGATTTAATAGGATTCTCTGCAGCATTTGGAAGGTTGGCTGTGGAAAAATATTTGCAGTGTGAGGAAAAAGCCTAGGATAGGTGAAGGGGGAAAAAAGCATGTTACGAAGAAATATGTACAGTTTGATCCAGTTTTTTTAAACCAATTTATTACATGTACATAGATATTCACATATATATATGCATCTTTGTTCATTTGGAAACACATGCTCTAAGATGTTTGAGATATCTCTCAGTCATGGAATTGTGCATATTTAAGATTTTTTTCTTCTGTTTTCTTCATGTCTTATGTTTTCTGCAAAAAACATAATTTTTGTGATCAGGAGAAAACCCTTAAAATTCCAAACCTGGCTGTATGCACTTGGTTTATATTCTTCTAGCTCAGCCGTTACCATAAGGAGCTCTCTTACAGCTTGTGACATGGGATTGCATTTATAAAAATTTCATATACTTGCCGTTTTCCAGTTGCAACTCTCAGCCATGATCACCTGGACTCTAGAAGAATTTTTGTGCCAGGCTTGAGAAACTCTTTTCTCTTTTCTGTCCATCTGACTTTCTTTTCTCATGGAAGGGGCTTTTTGAGTGAATTCAGAGAAAGGGCAGCACCCCACAGACCTGAATAAAGGGTAGGAAAATACATAAGTGAACTAAAGTAACATCCAAGCAGACCCAAAAAAGAAGCAAGATATAACTTCACAGTGACTCTATGCCTTCTAGTTCTCTGTATTTATTTGTAAGATCCTTTGGACATACTTCCTTTTTAATAGAACATGCTTTCATTTGGCTACATATCCTTGCAATGTCTCCTTTTATGAAGGAGGGGTCTGTGGAGGGTGCCACTGTATTAAACTTGGAAGAGACAGTAGTGGTCATTTTGATCAACCCCTGACATCATTTGTTCCCAGACCTCTGAATCCCCTAGAGAAACTTCATTAAGGGTGAGGGTCTCATGCATGCTGCATGCTTAGTTGCTTCAGTCTTGTCTGACTCTGTGTGATCCTATAGACTGTAGCCCACCAGGCTCCTCTGTCCTTGGGATTCTCCAAGGAAGAATACTGGAGTGGGTTTCTGTGCCCTACTCCAGGGCTTGACAGCATCTACACACTCCTATAACACAGGGTTTCTGTGCCCTACTCCAGGGCTTGACAGCATCTACACACTCCTATAACACAGGACTGCTAAGTGAATAGTTAATACTATCCCCCTAAGTTGTGGGCATAAATCGGTCTTAACAGTTGTGTAAGTCAATCTGCTGTATGTCAGAGGGCCCCATACCACTAAAGAAAAAGAAGGGGCCTGGGCCTGTGAATTGTGAAAGCTCTGCTGCTTTTGATATTTGCGCCTCAGCTTCCTCATCAGTAAAATGGGGCCATCACAAAATCTAACTTAAAGAGTTGTGAGAATTAAGGGAACTTCAGTTAACTCAAGTAAAGTGCTTAGCACAGCAGAGTGCTGGTTCTATGCATGGATCCCTATTTCCATTTTTCTTTTTACCAGCCTTTTTGGAGGGAATGGGCAGAAGAAAGGGCTGTTTTGCTTAAAGTGAAGAGGACCTGGTGAAAGACTTAGGCCAGAGATCAGCAAACTAAGCTTGCAGGCCAAATTTCACCCACCACCTGTTTTGTTAAATAAAACTTTTACAGAAAGTCAGTCTTCATTTCTTCATCTCTGACTGCTTTTGCACTACAATTACAGAGTTGAGTTGTGATGAAGACTGAGTGCCCTGGAAAGCTGAAAATATTTTCTGTCTGGCTGTTTACGGAATACGTTTGCCAACCCCAATCTAGAGTTAAAAAACAAAACAAAACAGCAGTGTCTTTTCCACATGATCTGCCATTGAAAGGATGAGTGTTATGAGGCTGTCCCTATCAGGTGAAGTGGCTGACTCTTGTCAAAGATTTCCTGTGCCTGAGAGTCAACCCTCACTGACACCTTAATTTCTGTGTCTTTCACCAAGAATTGACACCCACACCAATTGGGACTAAGGCAGTGTTCCTTTGTAGTTTGGCTAGTTCGACCAGAAACACAAGGAATGGAGTGGTGCACGTCCGAGAAGGCTCCCAGGACCAGGATGCCCAGCCTCACCCCGGTCTGTGACTGTGATTCTGCCTGGGCACAGAGCTGCTTGTCACTTCCCAGCTCCCCTGCTGTAGGTGGACCCTGTCTTATGTTCTTACAGGTGGAACTGGGAGGAAATGTGTCCACAGTTCCCACATCTGATCTGAGTCTTCCTCACTGACCTTTCTCAGTGTCACCTGTTCCTTGCCTGCAGGTCAGATGCAGACAGTCCAGTGAAGGGCCCTAAGGTTCAGAGCAGGTTGTCCAATAAAACTTTCTGGAATGATTGAAAGCTTCCGTTCTGCACTGTCCAATACAGTAGCTTCTAGTCTTATGAGGCTCTTGAGAATTGGACTGTGGCTAGTACGACTGAGGAAGTGAATTTTTACTTTTCGTTTAAATGGCGCGTATGACTTGTGACTTGTTATTGGACTGTGCACCTCTGCAGGATGGCAGATGCAGATGTTAGAAGAATCATAGGCCTGGATGTCTGGGTGGAACCAACATGGTTCCCTCCCCCACCCATCCCTACACCGCCACCCCTTGCCCTGGATTGTGATGTGAGCAGGAGATAACAGCTCTTTGCATTGGCCTGTGAGGGTTATTGTTTGACCAGCTGGGCTGCCATGACTGACACAGACATGTGTCTTGGCAACCACCTTTCTGAAGAAAGGATAATTCAGTCTACTTCTCATCCATTTTAGAAGCTCAAGGAATGCCAGGGGCCTCTGCTGAGATCTTGTTTTCAAGGCATTGATTATCCTGTTTAAAAGATGAAAGAAGTGGCTTTGTGGGCCAGAGAGCAAGTGATTTCACTTAGCACCTTGGCCGTATACAGACCTGGTTATATGCTAGGTGGGAAGGTTCACTGTTCAAAACTCAGTTCTAGTTGTTTTTTTTTTTTTTTTTTTTTTACAACTGCTTTAAACTGTGCTTCTCCTGCTCACGACAGAGAAAGGGCCATCTGGTTTGATGATTTTTTGGCTTGGAGGAGAGAACACGAAAGACAAGTATAAGCTTTAATACTCAAGAGACCTGATTCTCTGCTGAAGAGGAAATGAACTCCATATCCAGGAGAATTCTGCCAGGAAGGAGCCAAATAGACCATGCTCTCTGGAGGGTTCTCAGCGGTGCTGTGAACACCATTTTAACTCTCCTTTTGGTCGTTTCCAAGGTGAGACAGTGATGCATCACTGGAGCAGGACAGCTCATCTCACCTTCTCTGGTGTCATCAGAGAGGGGATCTAGCAAGTTTCCATGCAAAGCAAGATGGGCTAGGATGGCATGAACCATCTCACCTGCTCTGTGTGCCTGCCAGATTCTGGGAGAAGCTCCTGACTTTCTGCTTTGTTGTAAAGAGAACCAACTTTGGAATCAAACAGACCTCTACCAGAATCTCAACTCTGTCACTTGTTGTTTAGTCAGTAAGTCGTGTCTGACTCTTTGTGGTTCCATGGACTGTACCCCTCCAGGCTTCTCTGTCCATGGGATGTTCCAGGCAAGAATTCTGGAGTGGGTTGTCATTGTCCTTCTCCAGGGGATCTTCCTCACCCAGGTGTCGAACCCACATCTCCTGCATTGGCAGGAGGATTCTTTACCACGGAGTCTCCAGGGAAGCCCCTGTCACTTATTACCTTAGACAAACCATGTCACTTCTCTGAGCCTTGTTTTCTTTCATTTAGGGATAATAATAATAAACCAACCTCACAGAGCTGTCATAAGAATGAAATGAATCGGTGTCTATGGCAGCATATGTAGGACAGGGCTTCATGCAGAATCAGTACCTTGAGGGCCTGAGGGTTTGGAGCATAGAATTCCAGTCCCGGTGCTTCAGGGTGGTCCTGTGATGAAGATGTGGGGCCATGTGTTAATTAGAGCACTGCTTCTCAAATTTCAATGTGTATTCATACCACTTGCAGATTTTGTGTAAATCCAGGTTCTGAGTTAGCAGGATTATGTCATCTAAGTGAGTTTCCAGGTAGTAATTTCAAGGCTGCTGGTTGCTGACATCACCTTTGGAGAACAAGGAAGTCAAAGCATCAACCTGATCTGTGTCTCCCTCCTCTGTCACCCACATAGAAGCAGCGTACTCTCTACTTTGAGTACGGAGAATGGGGGAAGTGGAGGATGAGGATGACGTAGTTGGCAGACGGAAGGGGAATCTAGGCACATGAGGAAAGAAATCGTGGGGGAAAACATGGATTCAAGGTTTTCAACCTGAGTGGACTTCAGACTCACCTGGAGAGCTCTAACACTCTCCATTTTTAAGTCTCACCACAGGAATCACTTATTTAAGAGACTGGGATGGGGCCAGTTATGACATATGAAAGCAAATAACTGCTCAGGTTATTCTTACATGCAGCTTGGGTTGAAAACTGCTGGCCTAGAGAAAAGAGGCAACTTTCCCAGCTAGAAAGATTCAAGAAAGTATCTTTTCAAGATATGAGATCAGGTGTTTGGTTTTTTTTGGGGGGGGGAGGGGAGGTGCTAAGAGGGAAAAGTTCATGAAAATGGTAGATAAGAGAAGGCAGTTGGTTGAAACCTTGAAAAATTGGGTCCACTTGATGAAGCTGTTACAAAACACTAAAATTCTGGATCACTGACATGATAACTTAACTGTCTGAAGCATTTTGGGCCTTTGAACAATTTGTTTGTCTGTGAGAAACCAACAGTAAATGGCAGACATGAAATCTATGCCATCTGGGGGGAATTGGAGGCTCTAGGGCTTCTCTGATGGCTCAGTGGGTAAAGAACCCGCCTGCAATGCAGGAGACCCAGGAGATGCGGGTTTAATCCCTGGATCAGGAAGATCCCCTGGAGAAGGAAACAGCAACCCACTCCACTATTTTTTTTTTTCAGTTACTTTTATTAGTTGGAGGCTAATTACTTTACAATATTATAGTGGTTTTTGCCATACATTGACATGAGTCAGNCCAGTCTAGTATTCTTGCCTGGGAAATCCCATGGACAGAGGAGCCTGGTGGGCTACAGTCCATGGGGTTGCAAAGAGTCAGACACAAATGAAGCGACTCAGCACGTTTCTTTCACAAACATCGTGTATTTGATTGTTCTCTGTGCTTACAGAGGCTACTGAATTGGAGCACAAAAGTCACCTTGACTGGTAACCTTACCCGGGTCTCTAGCCAGTGGGTCTCCCTCTATCAGGCGGCCCTGAGCCCAGCACACACGCTCCAACACAATCTCACCCATGAGCTTCGTTAGTGTTGCTAAGTGAGTTTTGACTCTTGAATCTCAGGTATAGGCTGCCTCCTTGTCACCAGCAGTCAGCTCAGAGTTGGCACTTGACCAGCCTTGCCACAAAGCTCAGCCCCTTCCCAGGATCTCAGTATGCCAAGTATCTGCAGATATTTTATGGAAGATGCCTTATGTCTTGGGGTGGGGGCTGCATCAGGCACTGTGCCACATTTCCCTCGAACAGTCCTCATTAGGTATACATCTCCCCCTGAAAACCTGAACGCACAGCCAGTAAGGAGACTGCCCTCTATCACCAACTCCAGCCTCTTCCCAGCCTTTTACTCCTTTGAGCAGAGCTCAGCTCTGTCCTATTTGCTCCATGCTTGCTTGTCTATACCTGAGCATAGCAAACACAAGGTTCCCTAGAAACCCGGGCCCGCCCTCTTTAGGTATGTTATCACCTGTTACCTGGATGTTGAGCAGCTTATTCCAATGGCTACAAAGCTGGGCACAGCTTCTGGAAGGAAGGAAAAAAGCAGAGCAGGTGCAGATCACAGCCAGACAAGCTGCCTGGGAGAAGCCTTTGCCTGAAGAATCACAGAGTCAGTGGTTCTGCTTTGTGACTGCAGGCTGAAATCACAGGGGGAGTTCATAAAATGCTGATGACTGAGTCATGCCCTGGGAGACTCTGATTTCGTTGGCCTGGGGTGTGACCTGGGGACTGGGATTCTTAGGATTTCCCCAAGTCATTCCTAGGGTGCAGCCAAGTTTGATACACTGTTCCATCCAAGCTGGTTAGTGCTAAAGAGGAAAAGGGCAGCCGTGGGCCTTTCCTTATAAGAGCGATTGCTTTGTCCTGATTGCTGACCCATTTAGTCTTGTCTTGAGTGTCTAATTCCTTCAAGTGAGCCCTCTTAGTGTCTACCATCTGAAAGTATAAGCCTGCAAAGGTTGAGAACCACTGGATAATTCTGTATCTTGGTGAGGTGAAGAGGCCATAAGTAGGAGGGCGGGAACTGGGGTTAGATTTTACTTTTGACTTTTATTGACTTTTATTATTGACTTTTATTATTGATTTTATTATTGACTTTTATTGACTTATTATTGACTTTTATTATTGATTTTATTTTTGACTTAGGATTGAGAGAAATACCAGTTCCTATATCAAACTACTGTCCTCATTTGCAGGATGCTTTTCAAGCACAGAGTAAGGCAACTGGTGAAATACCAGGAAGCTCCTTTACTCTCCTTTTCATGATTCCTATTCCTGTGACCAAAGGCGTGACAGGAAAACAGTGTAACCACGACTTGAGAGCAAGGGGCAGCCTTGAAGGTGAGCAGAGGGGAAAAGCGACTGGGGAGGAAGTGGAAACAAAGGTAGTCGGAGGAGAAGGATGTTCACTCACCTTCTGCAACATACTGGTCCTTTAAGCATGCTTTGGGTAACGTAAAGATGCCCCTTGGATGCACCCCATCCTTCTCAAGCATGTGAGGAAACCCGAACACTCTGTGTGTGTTTGTGTGGATGTGTGAGTGGGAGAGAGACAGCTTTAGTGGAAAGTCATTCCCAAAGGTAGGAACAGATCAGGAGAACCTGGGATAAACAGAGCTAGGCTTCATTTTTTCTGCAGCCACCTCTCGTAACAGCATAAGGTGATGGCAGATCACACACCTTGGTGAGCATCGGTTTCCTCTTCTACCCTTCCTCGGAGTCTCGGGGTTGGGATGTGATATTTATGAATGTACTTTGCAAACAGTAGACTGCTATCTAAGTGCAAGGTATCATTTAAAAAGTCAGCGTTGCATCTCTGTGCTTTTTATAAGGATACTAGGAAAATGAGGAATATAGTATTACAAAGCCTCACGTGCATGGTTGAAGGGAGTGTTAGAAGAAAAGAAAGCAAAAACATTTTTTTCTGTGATTACAAAAGACGTACATGTCATGGGGAGAAACTTAGACAATTGCAAAGACATAAAACCTGAAATTCCACTTCCCCAGCATACTGCTATTTGTCTTACAAGACAATTATATGTGCATATTTAAAATCCATCATAAAAAAAAATAACAAAATAAAATCCATCATATTTTCAAATTCAAAAGCCTCTTAATTCAAAACAATACATGTTTCTTATAGAAACAGAATAGGTAGGTTAAAAACCATCTATATTCTACCACTTAGAACCTCCTAATCTTCTAGAACTTTGAAAAGCTATGTAATTATTTATACATTTTATATCTTTACCTTTATTTATTGTACAAGGAGTGTACACTTATTTTATAAAAATTAGATGAGCAAAAGGGAAACTGTAAATCACTTGAAGCTCAAACCTCAAAACAACTGATCACAGTTTGTAGTATTTTTTATTACAGTCTGTAGACTTTCCAATATTCACATATATGTGTATTTTTGAAAGTGTAACAGGTACCCAAAATCTTTTGCAAATAAGAACTCATATTGCAAAAAAAAAAAAAAAGGAACTCATATTGCTAATTTTATAACCTGCTTTCCAAATGGAACAAGATACATGTCCTACAACTTCATTTTTAATGTCTGGGTAGAATTCCATTGCAAGGACACGCTACTATTTATTTAACAGGTTGTCTGCCAAATATTTAGATTGTGTGTGATTTTTCTTTTCCTTAGAAACAACACTGTCATGACTATCCATTTACCACATATTTGTGCTTTTTTTGTAATTTAAATTTTAGGTTAAGCTGGGCCAGTGTCTCTGCAGAATCCTAAGACTTTTCAAAGAGAAAGATGTTGACTGCCTAGTGTAGCACTTTTTATCTTTTCCAACACTTTTGCTTTATACATATTAGATTGATAAATCTAAAATGATTTAAAGCCCTGTGAAATAGTTAGCTTGCCAATACTTTTTATTCCACTTCTCTCTTGATTTAATTTTTTCTGATTATTATGTCAGTTTCATGCTCACACAAGAAAATTTGTAGACCTCAGAAGCATGTGCATTGGGAAGAAAGGAAAAGTCTCATATAATCGCCCTGCAAGAGAGCATTGTGTCTCTAGTTACTTCCATCCAAACCCTTACCACACATGACTTTACATGTTTTTTTTCAAAATACTATTTGTAGACTTCTGATTAGGAAGATACTTTGATGGAACTTCTAAGTGTTGGCTGCTGTTCGTGGAGATTTTAGCCCTGTTGAAACACTTAGAATTGTTTCTGGGAAGTACTGGAAAGAAATATGCACATGGGTGAGGCCGTGCTGAGATGTGTTGTTCTTCTCTGTCTTAGACAGTACTATGTGGACAGATCCCTGAGGTCTCCTGCAATTGTGTAGGAAGAGGGCATCAGTGGCTTCACTTGGTTTAACAGTCACAGCTTTAGACAAGAAAAAAATGTAAAAGTCAAAATGCGAAAGACAGGCACATGTAGACCAAGAGAAGGAGAGATAAACAGCCCTTTGCTTCACTTGATCCACATTTGATGTTAGAAGGCTTCAGACAACAAGGACACAATTCTCAATCTAGGTAAGTAAGTTTACATTTCTGACTATAAAATGAGCCATATGCACATTTAAAAGGCAAAAAGAAAAAAAAATATATCATTTCACCATCAATCCCTTGTAAGATTTTGTGTTTCTTTCCAGTTTCTTGATGCATGCCTTTTAAGACTTGTTAAAACCCAACAGTTTACACTGGTTTTGTATTTCTGCTTCATAGTATAGCAAAGGCATCTGCCCATGTCCGTAGTTCTGGAGGATGATTTCTTCAAGTTCTGTTAGTAATTGTATTGCCTTGAGAGGTGAAGAAGGAACATACATCAAAGATGTCTGTGAAGGGCAAATGCGGTGATAAAGCAAAATAAAATTGTCTACTGTTCATGTATAGCTGCCAGTGAGAGTACATTTTCCTTCCTGGGTTACTAAGCTTTATCTTCCTGAGCAAGATAAAGTGGTTGTTGAATAGATAAGTAAGATACTGCCGCTCATAAGCGAGCCTCTGGTGTATTATAAATAAGTTCTGGGAAAACTTGTTCTTGCTCTGAAGAGACGGACCCAGGGGGACCTATCCACAGAGAGGTGCTTTTATGGCAGGTGGGAGAGCACACACTCTCAGCACCCTCTTTGTACAGTGGGATTGGGTCTTGTGCATGTGGTGTGTTCTGATAAACGTGTGCAGACCACGTACATCTTTCTCCTCTTTGATTAAGTAACAAAAGTCAAGGTCCAGAAAAACTCAAACCATGTGTCCCCAGGGCATTGCCTCCTCCACCACCCACACCTACTCAGGAGAAGACATGAGGCAGTGGTACTGCCCCGGCCCCCGTGGTTCCTTCCAGGGAGTTTGAAAAAGGTGCTGGTTCCTCTGAATGGAGATCATTCCCTCCATCTGTTAGCAGCTTGTACTGCACTGACCTTCACCAAACATCTTTATAATTAAAGTGCAAATGGGCCATAGCTGCCATATGAACACTGCCCTCCCGACCTGCTTCCACCAGTTACAAGGCCACATGCAGTGCAGGGCAGAGATAGCTGTGTGGTGACCCGCTGAGAAGGCCAGGTGAGCATCCTGGGCTAGTACTGATTATAACTGGGCTTTGATTTGCCCACACTCCCTGCCCCCACCCCTACCAAAGCTACTGCCTTCTATTTCGTCAGTTAACAAATGTGAGGCATTTGCAATGGGCCAGACCTGTGCTAGGCCTGGGCGATAAAGAGAGGAATGAGCCATGAAGTTTGCCCTCTGCAAGCACACCCTCCATGGGCAGTGGCGGGTGGTGGGCAAGTAGAAATGCCATAGAGGGGAGTCGACTGTTGAGGTGATTGATCTTTGAAGCATTTTTCCCAGGACTAGGATTAGGGTGAGGTGACTCAGATAAGGATGTGTACATGTAGTGTAGGAGCCTATCTTTAAAATGACATTCTGTTCATAATGGACTTTTTTGTATTAATTTTGACTCCTTAAATTATTGCCTAAAAATCTTGATTACTGAGTTTGTGGGTGCTCCTATAAATTTTGCTCCTCAGGCAAAGACCTCACTAGCTTCACACTAGTTCTGGCCTGGAACTCAAACCAAACCTTGCCCTTCAGCTAATACATACCTCACATACAGAGGGTATATATATATATATATATATATATAAGCTACATTACCCCAGGCAAGCTGCTTTTCTTCACTCAAGTTCAATGTCTCACCTGGAAAAATACTAAACTGGGAGAGTTATCTTTTTGACATGGACAAGAATGTCTTCTTTTGACAAACAGGTAAACGAGATCATTTCATCGTATGCTATGTGCCATAATGAGAGAGAGTGTGTGAGAGATGTTACCATAGGGCGTCAGGAAAGTTCTCTTGTAAGTGATCTTGGATGGCCTCAACCTGCAGCATCTTGAAGTGGGGCTTCAGTTCCACATCCAGGATTGAGGTCAGGTCGTGGCAGAGTACTGAATCCTAGCCACTAAACCACAGTCAGTGACAAGGCCCTAGCTCCTCAGTTTTGCATAAAATAATTCCCACAAAGATGGAAAGTAGTGAAATAAGTTAAAGTACAGTACGTGTGGTTGGACACATGGCTGGGCTGAGAGAGAGTCTCGCCCTTGTGATAGTCTGAATCAGTTTTATGGGGCATTTCTTCGAGGTTTCCTTTGGCCAATCACTTTGATTTGCCTGGTTCTGAATCTGTGTTTGTTTTAGCTCAGGATTCTCCCATGTGGGCATGCGCGCCTCTTAGTCAAGCTGGATTCTAGTGAAGAGGCCTATGGGAAGTCACACCACTTACTATGAGGTGACGCCCCCTTCCTTCTGACCTCTGAGGGGCCTTTCAGCGCATGTGTAATCAGGGAGGCCTCCTTAACTTCAAGAGTGAGGAATATGTAGTCTTTTATCTCTTACCTGGGCATGGTCCAGCCTCTTCCATCATCCTGCTTTTATGGAGTTTCTGTCCACAGGGGAGAAACTGTTGAGCCTGTGGCCCATCTATCTCCTGCCTCAAAGGGAGATGGTATTTGAGCTGAAATATCCATGCCAAGTGGACAACATGGCTTGCAGTCTTCTGTTTTTTAATAGCAGATCTTTCAATGAGCCCTCAGTTAGCTCCTGTTGTAACATGTAAAACTGTTAGGTGTCTTAATTCATTTCTCTCAACGATGCTGTGAGGTTAGTACTCTTGTTGTATCATTTTTTTTAATTATTTTTAAAATTTTTTTAATTTTTATTTTTTTTTCATTTATTAGTTGGAGGCTAATTACTTTACAATATTGTAGTGGCTTTTGTCATACATTGACATGAATCAGCCATGGATTTACATGTGTTCCCCATCTTGAACCCCCCTCCCACCTCCCTCCCCATCCCATCCCTCTGGGTCATCCCAGTGTACCAGCCCTAAGCACTTGTCTCATGCATCCAACCTGGTCTGGTGATCTCTTTCACACTTGATAATATATATGTTTCAATGCTATTCTCTCAGATCATCCCACCCTCGCCTTCTCCCATAGAGTCCAAAAGTCTGTTCTGTAATCTGTGTCTCTTTTTCTGTCTTGCATGTAGGGTTATCGTTACCATCTTTCTAAATTCCATATATATGCATTAGTATACTGTATTGGTCTTTATCTTTCTGGCTTACTTCACTCTGTATAATGGGCTCCAGTTTCATCCATCTCATTAGAACTGATTCAAATGAATTCTTTTTAATGGCTGA